ACACAGTGTTCAACTCCACACACAGTGTTCAACTCCACACACACAGTGTTCAACTCCACACACACAGTGTTCAACTCCACACACACAGTGTTCAACTCCACACACAGTGTTCAACTCCCACACAGTGTTCAACTCCCACACACAGTGTTCAACTCCACAGTGTTCACACAGTGTTCAACTCCACACACACAGTGTTCAACTCCCCACACACACAGTGTTCAACTCCACACACACAGTCCCCACACTGTTCACTCCCACAGTGTTCAACTCCACAGTGTTCACTCCCCACAGTGTTCAACTCCACACACACAGTGTTCAACTCCACACACAGTGTTCACTCCCCACAGTGTTCAACTCCACACACAGTGTTCAACTCCACCACAGTGTTCAACTCCCCACAGTGTTCACTCCCACACAGTGTTCAACTCCACACACTCCCCACAGTGTTCAACTCCACACAGTGTTCAACTCCCACACAGTGTTCAACTCCCCACAGTGTTCAACTCCACACACAGTGTTCAACTCCACACACAGTGTTCAACTCCACACACAGTGTTCAACTCCACACACAGTGTTCAACTCCACACACAGTGTTCAACTCCACACACAGTGTTCAACTCCACACACAGTGTTCAACTCCACACACAGTGTTCAACACACAGTGTTCAACTCCACACACACAGTGTTCAACTCCACACACACTCCCCAGTGTTCAACTCCACACACAGTGTTCAACTCCCCACACACACAGTGTTCAACTCCACACACACAGTGTTCAACTCCACACACACAGTGTTCAACTCCACACACAGTGTTCAGTGTTCAACTCCCACAGTGTTCAACTCCCCACACACACAGTGTTCAACTCCACACACACAGTGTTCAACTCCACACACACAGTGTTCAACTCCACACACACAGTGTTCAACTCCACACACAGTGTTCAACTCCACACACACAGTGTTCAACTCCACACACACAGTGTTCAACTCCACACACACAGTGTTCAACTCCACACACAGTGTTCAACTCCCACACAGTGTTCAGCTCCCCACAGTGTTCAACTCCCACACAGTGTTCAACTCCACACACACAGTGTTCAACTCCACACACACAGTGTTCAACTCCACACACACAGTGTTCAACTCCACACACAGTGTTCAACTCCACACACACAGTGTTCAACTCCACACACACAGTGTTCAACTCCACACACACAGTGTTCAACTCCACACACACAGTGTTGAACTCCACACACACAGTGTTGAACTCCACACACACAGTGTTGAACTCCACACACACAGTGTTGAACTCCACACACACAGTGTTGAACTCCACACACACAGTGTTCAACTCCACACACACAGTGTTCAACTCCACACACAGTGTTCAACTCCACAGAGATCTGTTCTCCTATTATCTGGGTTCATCGGAGAAGGATAAATTATACACTAAAATAACTAAAAGATACAATTCTGTATTTAAAACATCAATTTGGAACACGTTCTTAAAAGTTCTTACGAGAACAGGAATGTGTGTGTGGGGGGGGGAGGGGGAGACCCGCCTTCACAAATATTATAGGATAGCAATGTTAAGGGAGGGGCGATAGCAGGCCTATATACAAGATAACTGCATGTATAATGCATAATTATGATAAGTATTTTACAAGATAACTGCATGTATAATGTAAGTGCATAATGTAAAAGAATATGTATCATTATATATTAGTGTTGGGGGAGATGTTGGCTTCTGCAAAGTGTGTGAGGCTATTCCTCGCGTGCACTATGCGTGCGTGCGCATAGTGTGTGCACACTAGGCGCCCGCACTGTGCTTACAGTATGCGTGCGGACACAGGGCGGGGGAAGGCTGGTGGGTGTGTGTGTGTGTGTGTGTGTGTGTGTGTGTGTGTGTGTGTGTGTGTGTGTGTGTGTGTGTGTGTGTGTGTGTGTGTGTCCAGAACTAACATGACCCAATGGTTGAGGACACGTGGGCTACGCCAGGCTGGCCGTCCTCTCTATATTTTCTCTTTTGGAAAGGTGTCTTACACTGAAGAAGGTGGTGGTACCTCACCTGTCTCCTCACCTGTCTCCTCACCTGTCTCCTCACCTGTCTCCTCACCTGTCTCCTCACCTGTCTCCTCACCTGTCTCCTCGCCTGTCTCCTCGCCTGTCTCCTCGCCTGTCTCCTCGCCTGTCTCCTCGCCTGTCTCCTCACCTGTCTCCTCACCTGTCTCCTCACCTGTCTCCTCACCTGTCTCCTCACCTGTCTCCTCACCTGTCTCCTCACCTGTCTCCTCACCTGTCTCCTCGCCTGTCTCCTCGCCTGTCTCCTCGCCTGTCTCCTCACCTGTCTCCTCACCTGTCGCCTCACCTGTCAGAGAGCCGTGGGCCGTGTGGTAAGGGAATATTCTCAACCCATCTCCATGTTGACCAAGTACTCTGCTCTATGTGGATCAACCTACATATATTGACGTGATGGAGAGTTGGATACCAGGATTTGGTACTATTCACTCGAGTCCCTATTATTCACTATGAGTCTTGAAT